GACTTCGATCCAGCTAAGCTAACGTCCTGCCAGTGTCCGAGTCGATCCAGTTCCTCCCTGTCGATGCTTGCCGGTTCCAGGCCGATCTTCGCCTGATGCCCTACCGAATCGATGTTCGGCCCGAGCCGATTCGACTTTATCGACTCGATGCTCGAGCCTGCTCTTGAAAAGCCAGACGGGCGCTGGCTCAAAAAGTGGCTTTACCTCAGAGGAGAAAGGGGGGGCGCAAAATACGGGTCCTTGTTGAATCGGTGCTGGTGATCGTTTTCTTCCTTCATTGTTTTGCCGATCGGCGCGGGCCCTCGCACCCCCCCTCTCCCCCCCCCGTGCAGTATGCCTCGGCTGGCGTTTGGCGCCTGTTTCAGGGGCAGGTGGAGTTTGCCCTCCCCCGCAGGACGTACGGTTCCAAACAGTCGCACTACGCAGAGGTCCGGAGCTACAGCCGGGGCCCTGAAGAAGAAACCCTTTTCGTTGGGGAGGGGCTCCGTGTTCCTTGATTGTTTGACAGCTTGCCTTAGGTTTTCCCTAGGTTTTCGATGTGGAATCGAACTTTCACTGATGGGAAAAAGGGGCCTCGTTCCTTATTTAGCGTTCCTTAGGTCAACGCCCCCACTGTATACCCCCCCCTCCCCCCCCTCCCCCCCACCTCCCGCCCAATGTCGAAACGCCGAATAAGAAAACGTTCACTTGATTCGGTGCTGGGGAGATCCTGAGGTGAAGGATGAGGGGGGTTTTAACATAATATTTAGAGATGCCCGGGGGGGCCGTCACGCAGCAGTTACTCAGGCGTTCAGTAAGACCGGGCGTCTTAATCGTCGTCATTGAAACCGTTTTGCGTGACGACAAGATGATTTCAATGACTGCGTTGACGACGGTGATGACGAAGTGATTTCAGTGACGACGATGCGCTCAAATGTCGTGCCGTCATCGCAGTCATTCTACCGTGTTGGCTGGGAGGACTTCTCTCAGCCAACACTCTTCCAGCGACGGAAAGCAACTACAGTCAACGCGCATAGTAAGGACAAACGACTTTTTCAAGGGTGCCCTTGAGTCCTTGCCTGCCTCAGCCTCTGCGGCCCGTCCCTAGCAATTTTCCCAGGCCAGAATACTTCAACTTCGGCCTCCAAGGGTCTTGCGTCCTTACCACGCGTCCTTACTATACGTTTTCACTGTATTGGCTCCACCGTTATCCCCATGTCTGCTCGAGCTCTCTGCACCGTCGACCCCCCACGCCTGCCGTCTGGCAACCCAGCGCGTGCCCCACGACGATCCCCCGGCGCACGGGCCCCCCCCTCCTCTCGCGCGGGCGCCGGCCCACGGAGCAGCCCCCCCCCGCCCCCTGGGGCAGCGACGCAAGACGGCCGACCAGACGGCCGACCAGCGAGCTTGGGAAGCGACGCTTGGTTTGAGTCGGGCCTGTTTCTCCACAGGAGGACGACTCAAAACTGGTCATGCAATAGTTCTGGGACGATTTTTTATTAGTATTTTTGAATGTTTTTGGAGTAGTTGATTGACTATTTCTTATTTCTCGTCCAGAATCCGCCTGTGTGGGGACATGCCCGACCTAACGCCTGGGTTGAAGTCGGCTGGGGGTCTGAGGCTGCCCAGCACCGGTTCTGTCCAGCAGGGAGGGGGGGGGGCATGGCAGCTTCGAGGGGATGGCTTCGAGGAGCTCGGCGGTATACTGCCTTCGTCCTTCCCCGGGGGCCGTGTCCGGGCCCATGGGGCCGTCACAGACAGATCCGGGGCGAACAGCTGCACCACGTGAACCCCGGGAGGGGCCCGGGGACCGATTTGGAGGAGGAGAAGGAGGAGGAGGAGGAGGAGGAGGAGGAGGAGGGGCGGATTTGCCTTCATCCCCCCCTCTTCCCTGACCTTCCAGAGAGCTATCTTTTAGCACGGGAGACCCAAAAACCTAAGAAGCTGAGCGAAACAGCCCGAAACCTATACGTAGAATAGCTCTGGGATAGGTTTTTAAGTCGGGTGCTATTTTTTAGCCCTCCTGGAAGGAGGAGGAGGAGGAGGAGGAGGAGGAGGAGGAGGAGGAGGAGGAGGAAGGGATTTGCCTTCGTCCCCCCCTCTTGACCGACTTTCCTCGGGACCCGGCCAGCTCAGACCCCCCAGCCGCCTCCACGTTGGGCCAGCCACTGCAGGGGGCCCTCCGCCAGCTCCTCCCGCTGGGGATTTGCTGCCGGAGCCCTGCTGGCGATTCGGGCCCGACGAAAGGGGGGGATGGGGAAAGGGGGGGTTACGAAATCTGCTGCATGCAGGCGGTTTCGGCCCCACCATGGGCCCATTCCTCGATACATAGCCACCTCCGGCGCTGGGAGGCGCCGGGAAAATCAGCTACGTGAGCTGATTCTCAACCCCCCCCTTTGCTATCCCCCCCTTTCGCCCAGCCCGAGCGATGCATCGCCGTCCCGCACGGCCTGCTGTCAGCTCGGGGGCGGGCACAGTCTACTCATTGCCAGGCATCCACGCCTTGCTCCGTCCAGAGGTCGCTCCCAGTAGGCGCCGCACTCCTCAAGGGAGAGGGGCGAGCTTCACACCGGAAGGCTGCCCGCATCGGCGCATCGGCGCAAGAGAGAGAGAGAGAGACGATGCCGTGCGGTGGGTCTGGCAGGCCTCCCAGGAGGGATGGGGATGGGGGCGGCGGCGGTGGTCTCAGCCTACTGACGGGTCGTCACGTTGTGGCCCTCACAGGTGGGGCCAAAAGTGGGGAGACGGGGCATACTCCACTTATCTTCCTCCTCCTCTCCCCCCCTGCTTCCGTAGCGCACCCCTTCTTGCAAACTGCGGCGCTGCGGGAGCCTTCCTCCTCCTCCTCCTCCTCCTCCTCCTCCTCCTCCTCCTCCTCCTCCTCCTCCTCCTCCTCCTCCTCCTCCTCCTCTCCTCCCGCACTGTGTGGTTCTGCCTTTTGGGGTCTCCGGGGGGCTCTTCGTCGCCGCGGCTGGGTCCGCATCGAAAGTTCGACTCAGAACCTGCCCCCGTGGAGAAGTCAGGGGGTCGATGTTTGCAGGGAGGAGGGGGAGGAGGAGGAGGAGGAGGAGGAGGAGGAGGAGGAGGGAGAGAGGAGGAGGAGAGGAGGAGGAGGAGGAGGAGGAGGAGGAGGAGGAGGAGGAGGAGGTGAGGAGGGAGGAGGAGGAGGCAGGGGGAGGAGGAGGAGGGAGGAGGAGAGAGGAGGAGGAGGAGAGGATGGAGGAGGAGGAGGAGGAGGAGGAGGAGGAGGAGGAGGGAGGAGGAGGAAGGAGGATGAGAGGTGTAGGTGTAGGAGGAGGCGGCGGAGGAGGAGGATGGTGGATGCGGAGGCGGAGGCGGAGGAGGAGGTGGTGGAGGAGGGTGGGGTGGAGGTGGAGGAGGAGAAGGAGTTGAAGCAGGAGGGTGAGGTGGAGGAGGATCAGGATTAGGATTAGGAGGAGGAGGAGGAGGAGCAGAAGGATGCGGTGAAGGAGAGGGAGGTCGTCGTGGATGGGGATGGGGAGGAGGAGGAGGAGGAGGAGGAGGGGAGGAGGAGGAGGAGGAGGAGGAGGAGGAGGAGGAGGAGGAGGAGGAGGGGAGGGGGAGGAGGAGGAAGGATGATGAGGTGTAGGTGTAGGTGTAGGAGGAGGCGGCGGAGGAGGAGGTGGTGGATGCGGAGGCGGAGGAGGAGGAGGAGGAGGGTGGGATGGAGGTGGAGGAGGAGAAGGAGTTGAAGCAGGAGGGTGAGGTGGAGGAGGATCAGGATTAGGAGGAGGAGGAGGAGTAGGAGGAGCAGAAGGATGTGGTGAAGGAGAGGGAGGTCGTGGTGGATGGGGATGGGGAGGAGGAGGAGGAGGAGGAGGAGGAGGAGGAAGAGGAGGTGGATGACGATGGCAACGACGAGGGGTCCCAGGTGTGCATCTCGTACCTCACGGAGGCCACGCAATCACCGCCATTTGTTTGTTGCTGTGTCCAGTCTCTCTGTCTCTGCGTACACATAGGTTAGCGAGAGTGGACCCTAGACAGTGAGTTATTGTACTGTGGATGTGCAAGCTACGTGGTTCAAACTAGAGGGTGTAAACTACGTGGTGCAGCACACGTGGTGCAAGCTAGAGGTGTCAACGAAGCGGCCAAGGGCGGCACCGTGGCGAAGCCTCGCCCGACCCACCTAGCGCACGAGGTGGCCACGAGGCGGCCACGGGCGGCAACCTGGCGAAACCTCGCCAGACCAACCCAGCGCACGAGGTGGCCACAGGCGGCAACTTGGCGAAACCTTGCCAGACCCGCCCGGCGCACAAGTCCCCCCACGGGCCACCACAGGCGGCAACGTGGAAACACCTCGCCAGGCCTATCCAATTCGTTGGCGACGTAAGCAAGAACCTCCAAGTACAAGCACTGTTTGGGCAAGTGTAAAGCTACAAAGGATGCAGGCTGTACGGTGCAAGCTATGCTGTGCGAGCCCCGAGGCGGCCACGAGGCGGCCACGGGCGGCGACGCGGCGGAACCTCGCTATGCAGTGCAGCACACGCGGTGCACGGCAGAGACGTCCACAGGAGGCAGCGTGGCGAGACCTCGCCAGACCCTCCCCCTCCTCCTCCTCCTCCTCCTCCTCCTCCTCCTCCTCCTCCGCCCTCCTCCTCCTCCTCCTCCGCCCTCCTCCTCCTCCTCCTCCTCCTCCTCCTCCTCCTCCTCCTCACAAAGATGCCGCGGGCGGACGAGGCGGCCACGACGCGGCCACGGGCGGCAGCGTGGTGAACCCTCGGTGCACCGTAGAAATTTCTCGACACGCCCAGCCAACTCATCAGCATCACGTGAGCTCTTGCGCTGTGGATGTGTGAGATCTGTGGGTGCTTCAAGCTGCGTGGCGTAAGGGGCGTGGTGCAAGCTGGGAGGCGCAAGCTGCATGGTTCGAGGAAGATAACCACATAAACATAAACTCTTGGATGTCCGCGCGGATTTCTTGGATCCGCGCTAGGCCCCCCTGGCGGCGCCTCCGGCGCCGCCCCTGGCGCGCTCCGCGCGACAGGGAGTGGGGTCCAGCGCAGATCCAAGAAATCCGCGCGAACATCCAAAAGTTCACTATGTTTACGTGTGGTTTTTGTTTCGTCGAATGGTGCAAACTGTATGGGGCAATCTACGTGGTGCACGCAATGCGGTGCACGCTACGTCGTGCAATGTGTGTGATGCACGCTGCAGTGCCGTTTTTGATACATGCTCCGCGTGCGGGTCATGTATTAAAAATGCAGGAATCTAGTATCAAAAACAACGATGAGTTCATGCATACATTTATTCGTTAATTAAGCATTATTAAAAATCAAATATTTTGAAATCCTATGTATAAAAAACTGCCCTGTACACTGGGCGGCCACGGGGCGGCCACGAGGTGGCCACGAGGCGGCCACGGGGCGGCGGCGGCGGGGTGGCCACGCCCCTCGGCCCCGGGCGCGCGGCCGAAGGGGCGGGCGGCCACGCAGCACCTCCTCGGGCTAACCCACCCGACGCCCTGGCAAAGCAATCCTCCTCCTCCTCCTCCTCCTCCTCCTCCTCCTCCTCCTCCTCCTCCGCCCTCCTCCTCCTCCTCCTCCTCCCCCTCCTTCTCCATATCGCTGTCCTCCCTCCTCATCCATCCCTCCCCTCCCTCCCTTCCTCCACCTCCTCCTCCTCCGCATCTTCCAGCATCCCCAATCCTCCTCCTCCTCCTCCGCATCTCCGTTTAGGACCCCGGAGTGCAAGCACGGATCAGGGAGTGCATACTCGGCGGCGAGCGAGGGGGGGACTTGAGAAGGAGAAGGCCTTCTCAGAAGGCGGCGGGACTCCTCAGAAGCCCTCGCGCCTTCTCAGAAGTTTTTGTTCTGTCTTCGGGGAAGGCTCGCCGAAGTCCGGGGGACTTCCGAGCCTTCCGAGAAGGCACGCCCCTTCTCGCTTCCCCCCCCCTGGCTCGCCGCCTACCCTGACCTTCCAGAGAGCTATGTTTTAGCACTGGAGACCTAGAAACCTTGAAAACTCAGCGAAACAGCCTAAAACCAAGATGTAGAACAGCTTTGGGATAGGTTTTTACGTCGGGTGCTATTGTTTTGCCCTCCTGGAAGGTCAGGGTATATACATGTGTTTAGGGATGTGTGCGCGCCGGCCGCAATGTCGCCCGACCGAGAGGCCAAACAGTGGGGCTGCTCAGCCGGCGTCGGGGGGGGGGGGGGAGCGCGTCGGTGTCGGTCAGATTTGCGGCCCTGGAGGGGCCCCGCGCCATCGTGCGGACCGTTCTCGCTTTCGCAAACAGCGCCGGCATTGAGCATTTAGGCCCGCTTGCATGCGCATTTAGATTTACAGATGCAGGTACACACACATATATATATACATATATATATATATATATATGTATGTGTATATATATGAATATATCGGAGGTGGGGGGGTGAGTCCGAAGTGGAACGCAGACCCCCCCTACCGGGAAATCGGTTTCGGTTTCGGGTTCGTGCCGTGCGTGCCGTGTGTGCGGGCGGGCGAGGCGAAGCTGCGTGGGCGGGCAAGAGGAAATCCTCCTGTGGCTGGGCCGCGGCAGGACCAAGTGATTCTCCTCCGGCGGCCGGTGGCTCGCGGTGTCCCGCTGGTGTCCCGTTGGTGTCCCGAAATCCTCCTGTGGCTGGGCCGCGGCTGGACCAAATGATTCTCCTCCAGCGGCCAGTGGCGCGTGGTGTCCTGTGGTGTCCCGTGGTGTCCCGTGGTGTCCCGTTGAGTGAGATCGATAGTGAGATCGATCGTGAGATCGATAACGAGATCGATGCTAAGATCGATGTGGTGCCCCGAGGTGTCCCGTGGTGTCCCAAAAAGTGAGATCGATAGTGAGATCGATCGTGAGATCGACAGGTGTCCCGTGGTGTCCCGTGGTATCCCGTGGTATCCCGTGGTGTCCCATTGAGTGAGATCGATAGTGAGATCGATAGTGAGCTCGATGTGGTGTCCCGAGGTGTTCCGTGGTGTCCCAAAAAGTGAGATCGATGGTGAGATGGACAGGTGTCCCGTGGTGTCCCGTGGTGTCCCGTTGAGTGAGATCGATAGTGATATCGATAGTGAGATCGATTGTGAAATCGATGTGGTGTCACGAGGTGTCCCGTGGTGTCCCGTGGTGTCCCGTTGAGTGAGATCGATAGTGAGATCGATAGTGAGACCGATCGTGAGATCGAGAGGTGTCCCGCGGTGTCCCGTGGTGTCCCGTGGTGTCCCGTGGTGTCCCGTTGAGTGAGATCGATCGTTGTACCGATAGTGAGATCGAGAGGTGTCCCGTGGCGTCCCGTGGTGTCCCGTTGAGTGAGATCGATAGTGAGATCGGTTGTGTCAGATGTTGGTTCCCCCCATCTCCCCCCCACAACCTCCTTCTCACCCGAAGGGTGGTCGTATAGGTATACATAGGTGTATCTATATATATATAGGTGTACATATATATATAGATATATGTATATGTATACGCATGTACTTACACAGATGCACATGCATACGTTGATGTGTAGAGTCATTTTACGTACATATAGAGAGATAGAGACAGATGGAAGAGCGCGCCACGGAGCCTAGGAAGAGAAAAAAGGGGGTCAGCTTTCGGTACGATCGACATGGGTACGGAAACAATGGGTACGAAGACCGACAGCAGTTCTTGTTCATGTTGCCCAGGACCCGATGTCGGTGTCGCCGCAGACGCTGTGCATCGAAACAGAAGGTCGCCTGCCCAACGGCAGCCGCTGTCGATTTTGGACAACGTTAGTTGTTGGGCACCGTGCCCATTCCAGGCGCGTCCAAAAGCTTCGAATTCCCCCCTCCTTCCAATGGGGGGAGGGGGCTTCCGAAGCGACCCCCCCCCCTCCCTGTGGGAAGCTGGGGCCCCCCTTTGAGAGGGGAGCCCCGGCTTCGGAAGTTCCCCCCGCGCCCCCCCTGATCGAAGCTGGGGTAAGACGACGTTTCCGTTTGCAGAGTTGGAGTGGGAGGCTCTGGAAGTTACCCCCCACACTCCTTGCTGCAAAGCAAGGAGGGTTTCGAAAGCCAGACCCCCACCCCCAGTCGGCCTCCAGGGTGATTGCGTTGCATCTTCGGGGGACCTCGCCGGTCCCCAAAATTGGTGTCTTTTCGTGTGCCCGACGCGGGCTCGATGCAGACTCGACGCGGAGTTGGCGTGGATTCGACGCGGATATGACGCGGATGTGACACGGATCCGACGAGGCCGACACGGACTCGACACGAATTCGACGCGGATAGGGCCGCGACGGGACAGTTCAGGCGGAGGAGGAGGAGGAGGAGGAGGAGGAGGAGGAGGAGGAGGAGGAGGAGGAGGAGGAGGAGGAGGTGGAGGAGGAGGAGGAGGAGGAGGGAGGAGGAACCTTTGCCATGTTTCTGCCTCTGGGGCGAAAGCCAGGGCCTCCCTCTCGAGGGGCGGCGCTCCAGAAGCTACCTATCCCCCCCCTTCCCCTTGCAGAGCACAGGGTCGCCGGTCAAGAGGGGCGGGGGTAGAGCTCCAGAGCCCCCCCCCGGCCGCAAGCGTGCGAGGCGGGGACCTATCCATATCCACCACCTGGGAACAGATGTCCCCTCCTCCTCCTCCTCCTCCCCCTCCCTCCCCCCTCCTCCTCCTCCTCCTTTTCCTCCTCCTCCTCCTCCTCCACCTCCTCCTCGTCTTCCTCCTCCTCCTCCTCCTCCTCCTCCTCCTCCTCCTCCTCCTCTCCCTCCTCCCTTCTCGGGGCTGGGGGTCAGCCCGGGCTCCCCTTTGCAGAGTGGAGGTCCTCGTAAGTTGCCCCCCTCCTCCCTCCCCTTCGCGAATCTGCGCCACGTCTAGTCGTCGTCGTTCTCGTAGTCGTCGCCGTCGCCATCATCGTCGCGGTCGTCCTCGTAGTCGTTGTCGTTGTCGTTTTCGTCGGCGTGCGTCTTGTCGTCGTCGTTGTCGTCCTCGTCGCCGCTGTCGTCGTCATCGTCCTCGTCGTCGTTATTGTCCTCGTCGTCGCACGATGTTTCCGCCGTAGAGCAGAATCATCAACACACTGCGTTGCCACTTGACGAGTACTGTAGAGTGGTATGCTTCTAACCCCCTGCGTTGCCACGTGGTAGGTATAATCTAATCGTATTCGTTCTTCCTCACAGCGTTGCCATGTGACCACTCGAGCGGCATCGTAGTTGTCTTCGCTCTCTGCGGTCCCGTGCGACGAATACAGTCGACGATCGAGGACCCTGAGGCTTCCTTGGCGATCCTTGAGGATTCTGACTTTTGTCAGGCCCAAAGATGGGGGGGCGGATGGAGGGGGGCAGAGGGGGTAAGCTTCGGGAGGTCAAGGGGGGGGGGTCAGCAGCTTGTCGTCGTCGTCGTCGTCGGCGAGCGGGCGGACGGGCGTGATCGCACGTGGCGAGTAGAGAGGAAGATGAGTTGCTTCCCCATCTCCCCCTCTCCCCTCGTTGCCGTGTGACCCTGCAGCCGAGAATGCCATTTGCTTCCGCCCCCATGCGTTGCCACGAGGCCAGGGCAGCAGAGCAGTGTGCGCTTTCCCGCGCCCGTTCGCGGCCACGTTGCGAACATCATGGAGTAGCATTGTTCCCCAAGGTGGCGCCGCGTGAGTGAGTACGGTCGAATGGTGTGTGCGTGTGTGTGTGTGTGTGTGTGTTTGTGTGTGTGTGTGTGTGTGTCGTTTTCCGCGGCGCCATGCGACGAGCACAGTCGACGAGCGAGGGCTCTCGACGGATTTACTCCGTCGGACCCCCGGGGTTCATTGGGGCGGATCTCAAAAATGGAGGCAGTTGGGTGAGGGGTAGCTCGCCGTTGTCGTCCTCGTCGTCGACGTTGTCGTCCTTGTCGTCGTCGTCGTCGTCGTCGTCGTCGTCGTCGTCGTCGTCGTCGTCGACGAGCGGTCGGGCGGGCGCGCATGTAGCGAATCGAAATGAACCGCCCTTGCCAGCGCAACCTGCCAACCCAACCAGCCAACCAGGCCAACCAACCACCCCGCCACCCAGTTGACCCGTCGGCCAGCCACTCCAGCCAGCCACCCCGCCACCCGGCCAGCCCGCCAGCCCTCCCGCCCCCGCCGCTTGCCCTCCGTCACCGCCGAGAGGGGCGGGGGAAGTATGGGAAGCGTTTTTGTTCCCCAGCGCGAGCGAGAACAGGACGCTCTCCCGGGGTCGCGCGGGACATCGGGGGGAGGGTAAATTGCACCGTGCCGTAGGGGATCAGGCTTCGCGCCGCGGGGCGTCGGAGATGGTCTTGGGCCTCCATTGTGACGTTGTCTCCACTTTTTGAACTTTCACGGCCCCCTTTTCTTCGACAGAAAGGCTCTCAGCCTCTTCACTGATTTATGACAGCACGTGATGTTCTACACGAGCAGACCAGCGCACACTCAGCACAGTGTATACAAACGCACGTTGATACCATCGAGTTGAGCTTGACGAACATGTCGGGTCATTGGGGTTGCTCGTATGGCAGAAGCTGCGCCCTCCATGGGGCTGGGCGGGGTTTCCACGCTGGGGAAGAAACTCTGGAGGAACCTCTGGGGGGAACATGTAACGCAAAGTGTGGTCTTTCAGAGGACAGGTGGTGATGCAATGTCGGGGAGTGACGGGAGGCCCGGAGGAGGAGGAGGAGAAGGAGGTGGAGGAGGTGGAGGAGGAGGCGGAGGAGGCGGAGGAGGAGAAGGAGCGGAGGAGGAGGAGGACCTTCCCCTCCCCCCCCGCGGCGCGCTCTGGGGGCAGCGCTCGCCGCCCGTGCCGACGGGCCCCAGGACGGGCTGCTGCAGTGCGCCTCCATGCGCAGGCGGTCCTGGGTCGGCCGAAGGGCGACGGAGGGGAATGGAGGGGGAGGAGGGGGAGGGGCGGGGAGGGGCGGGGAGGGGCATGGAGGGGCATGGAGGAGGAGGAGGAGAGAGGAGGAGGAGGAGGAGGAGGAGGAGGAGGAGGAGGAGGAGGGGAGGAGGAGGAGGAGGAGGAGGAGGAGGAGTAGGAGGAGGAGGAGAGGAGGAGGAGGAGGAGGAGGAGGGAGGAAGGAGGAGAGGGGGGGAGAAGAAGGAGGGGGAGAAGGAGGAGGAGGAGCAGGAGGAGGAGGAGGAGGAGGAGGAGGAGGAGGGAGAGGAGGAGGAGGAGGGGGAGCTGGAGGAGGAGGAGCAGGGGGAGGAGGGTGAGGAGGAGGAGGAGGAGGAGGAGGAGGAGGAGGAGGAGGAGGAGGAGGAGGGGAGGGGCATGGGGGAGGGGAGAAGGGAGCGGTGAAGGAGAGACGTCTGCATGAGTATGCACTTTCGTTGGTCCGCGCGGAGCTCTTGGATCGGCGCTGGCCCCCCCCCCCCCCCTGGCGGCGCTTCTGGCGCCACCCCTGGCGCGCTCCGCGCGCCAGAGATGGGGGGGCGGCTGTCCAAATCAGATCCGAGAAATTCGCGCGGGCCTCCGACAGTTCATGTGCGTTCCCCCAGAAAAGGAGGAAGAGGAGGGAGGAGGGCCAGAGTACAGCCGAGACGCTGAGACAAGGACCAGGATGGGCTCAGGAGGGGTTCTGGTTTTCGGGCCGCTCCTTGGATCTAGGTCGGGGAACCCAGTCGCGGTCGAGGCTCGCCGTGGCTAGAAAGCTCGCTGGTTCATTGTGTTCGGCGACCCTCCTGGTAGCACGGTGGCTGTAGCGCACGAGGTGGATCACTGAGGCGAACGGTGCGCCCTTCCGTCCGACTCCCCCATCCTCCTCCTCCTCCTCCTCCTCCTCCTCCTCCTCCTCCTCCCCCTCCTCCTCCTCCTCCTCCGCCTCCTCCTCCTCCTCATTCTGCTGTCTGGCTGAGCATCCTTTCAGCACGCTGCCCGAGCTCACTCGGCACCTCCGCAGTCACGTCCCCCTTGTGAGCCCAACTATTCGGCAATGCGCTCGCGCGCTGACGTTCCGCCTCTCCGACGAGCAGGTCCGGGAGGCCACTGCGTGCTTAGAAAGAAGGGGGCATCTCAACATTGAGCTCGGCATCGCTCGGACGTGTGCACTTTTCCTTCGGCGAGGACCATCGAGGAGCATCCTTGACCATTTGGCGAACAAACCACGCACGAAACCTAAAAAAACACACGGAATGGACGTCCGAGCGATTTCCAGTGAGCGAGGGGACGAGGCCGCTCTGGCTCGGCAGCAGCTCTCCGAGTGCGCGGCGGCCGCCAGAGAGGCCCACGGCGCGGCGGCGTCGAGCCTCGAGCCGCGCAGCCCCAGCAGCGAGGAGCCAACAGAGGAGCGGCGGTGGAGATCGGGGGCAGGAACGAGGGGGCCATGTGGAACAGTGAGGATAGAGGAGGAGGAGGAGGAGGAGGAGGAGGAGGAGGAGGAGGAGGAGGAGGAGGAGAGGAGGAGGAGGAGGAGGAGGAGGAGGATAGGAGGAGGATAGGAGGAGGATCGGAGGAGGATAGGAGGAGGATAGGAGGAGGATATGAGGAGGATAGGAGGAGGATAGGAGGAGGAGGAGGAGGAGGAGGAGGAGGAGGAGGAGGAGGAGGAGGAGGAGGAGGAGGAGGAGGTAGGAGGAGGAGGAGGAGGAGGAGGAGGAGGAGGAGGGAGGAGGAGGAGGGAGGAGGAGGAGGAGGAGATGAGGAGGAGGAGGAGGAGGAGGAGGAGGAGAGGAGGAGGAGGAGGAGGAGGAGGAGGAGGAGGAGGAGGAGGAGGAGGAGGAGGAGGAGGAGGAGGAGGAGGAGGAGGAACGCGGGGGGCGTTTCTTGCAGCCTCGCGCTCGCCGATGCGGCCCAGGTGGGACTTGCACGAGACGAAGCACTTCTGGTGCACGTGCGAGCGCTGCGGCGGAGAGAAGGAGCCCCTCCGCGCGCCCCGTCCCTGGCCGCCCGTGCGCGCGCCCCCTCCCCCTGGCATCGCTCGGAGGTGTGCATTTTTTCTCGGCGAGAACCATCCTGGACCATCCTGGACCTCCCCCTGGCATCGCTCGGACGTGTGCACTGCTTCCTCGGCGAGGACCATCGAGGACCATCCTGGACCATCGAGCGAACAAGCAAAAAACACGCCCGAAGCCGAAACAAAATGCAGGGGAAACGGCCGTCCGAGCGACGGCAGGTCCCCGGGGCCTCCCCCCCGCCCGCGGGCGCAAAACGCCGCGCGGCGCCCGAGCGGCCCAGAGCGGGTCCTGATGCAGAGAGCACGGGAGTGAACGTGCACGGCGACGATGCCTTCGGAACTTCGCTGGAGAATCTGGCTCTTCCCCCACCTCCTCCTCCTCCTCCTCCTCCTCCTCCTCCTCCTCCTCCTTCTCCCCTGACCTTCCAGGAGGGCTAAACAATAGCACCCGACGTAAAAACCTATCCCAGAGCTATTCTACGTCTTGGTTTTAAGCTGTTTCGTTTCGTTTTTCAGGTTTTTAGGCCTCCAGTGCTAAAACATAGCTCTCTGGAAGGTCAGGGTCCTCCGCCCCCAGACATGTTGGCGTTATGGACCAAATCGCGACGGCGATGTGTCGCAGCTCTCGGTTTCTGCGGGTCCCTGCCGGGCTCGGGACCGTGAGACAAGTACTCGGAATGAAAAGCCCGCCCAGGGGACAGGGTCGGGGCTTCTGGTGACCCCCTTCCCCCCATCCCCTCCCATCCCCTCCCCTCCCTCCCGTAACCCTTCCTCTTCCAGCCCGCCCCCAATCGCTCCAAATCCTCCTCTATGAGACAATGCTTGATCCCCTAGCGATAAAGGGCAGTACCGGGGGGGGAGGGGACTGGGCCTGTAACGTCACGATTCGTGCCAGCTCGAATTTTGACGTTACCAGGGGGGGAGAGTGGGAGGGCAGGTGGCATCTGTAGTCCTCACAACAGCGTAGTCGCACCGCATGCATTGTACCACATCGGATGTGCCGCAACCCATGACGCCACTCAGGTTGCACCAATGAGGTCGCGCATCCAGAGTGCAGTGACAGACTGGTGTGGGCCCACGGTGGCAAACATTATCCAAGTGCCTGCGGCACGTCCCGCATCCATGCCAGCTCAGCAAGCTGGGTGTCGACTTGTCGAGGGCTCACGAGAGGCCTTCGCCGTGACGAGGATGATGTGGATGATGAGGGTGATGATGATGACAAAGAGGAGGAGGATGAGGAGGAGGAGGAGGAGGAGAAGAGGAAGAGGCGGAGGAGGATGAGCAGGAGGATGAGGAGGCGGAGGAAGCGGAGGGCGGGGGAGGGGGATCATTCGTGATCAGGGTGTGGAGCAAGCATGCAACGACTCGTGGAGTCATGTTGCAAAGCTGTGGCCCGTGTCGAAAGCTCAGGCTCTGCGAACTCTGAGGGGCATTCGCCCTTGGACCTGAGCCCTGTGCCCACCTGCCCTTGGACCTGAGCCCTGTGCCCTCGCCCAGGGGACCCGCCGCCCCTTCCGGGGCAAGCCGCACTACTAAGGGCACGCATCCCTGGCGGGCGCCCTCGTGGGGCCGAGACGCTTGCCCCTCCCAACCCTTCTCGGAGGACGGGGGGGCCCTTAAATTGACTGCTGCGATGCTAGGCTGGGCTGGCTCATGCCAAGCAACGCCATGCAATGCCAAACAGCGCCTACCAGTGTTGCATTGCATTCTGTGCTCGCGTCCCTCGTTGCTGGTTTGAACTGCGCGGGAAGCAAGAAGACCCCCCATGTGGCGTGCCGGGGAGCATGTGTGGGATGGACCTGCGGGAAGCGATGCGAAGCGAAGCGAAGCGATCGCCGGTCTCGTGCGCGCTCCTCTGTGGAGCCCGCCCGTGCTCATGAGTTGGGGCATGGCGCGGAGGCCGTGGCCTCGAGACCGTGCCGCGCGGGCGGCGGAGGCGGAGGCGGAGGAGGTGGCCCTGCAGAGGCCGTCAGCGGCCACCAGGCTCCGCGGCAATGCAGCGCTAGCCCGCCCCCTTGGGCCGAGCCGCGGCCGCGGCGCCATGCCGCGGCTGCGGCCGCTGCTGGCGCTGCTGGCGGCCGCTCGGCCGCGCGCGGGCGCGGGGGCCTCCGCGGCCCTGCGCCGCGCCGGGGGCATCTTCCAGGCCTACGACAGCGTGTCGGACGTCGGGGCAGCGTTGCAACGTGGGGGGGGGATGGGCCTCAGCGGGGGGGGGTGCAGCGACCCCG